ATACTTTTTGTTATATTAAAGTTAAAATTAAAATAAATTTCACAAACTGAGAACAAATATAGTAACAGACTGCGGAGGTACATGTATCTGTAAATTTGGGGGATGTTATTCACATAGTTACAGATTCCAAAAAGTCAATAAAAGGTTGCCACACTTTCCTATATGACACTAGTTTATCCCTTAATAAATATCGTTTTCTCTCTAGATGTAAAATGTTAACAAGGTCTCGTAGCCACATTTTACAGCTTGGTACTGACGGCCCCTTCCATGACATTAAAAGTAATTTCTTGGCATTAATAAGACAATAAGAAATGAACTGCTTTTGGGCTGATGTCAGATTATTTAAGTCACACTTTTTGAGGGAAATGTATTTTATAAAATCAGAGACCAGGAACCGACATTTCATCTTGAAAGTCAAGTTATAGTAATAACGGTAACACTTAATAATAACTACACCTTATTTAGCCTTAATAAAGCATGAACAAAGGCTTAATTAATAATGAACAAAGACTTAATTAATGATGATTCATGCTTAGTAACTACTTAATTACTACCTTAATTAGCACTTTCACTTAATTTGTCTGTGCTGTATATAGTTTCTCATAATTATTTCATACTTAATTACTCATGAACTAACCATTTGAGCATTTATTAATCATTAGTAAGCTATGAGAGAATGAGTTACTAATAATGCAATGCAATGATAATTCAGGCAGCTGTTATCTGTTAGTTAAGTCTTTTTGAGAGCTTTTTTAAAGTGAAGACAAATTATGCTTTATTAAGCATTGACTAAGTGTGAATCATTATTAATTCAATCTTTGTTCATTATTAATTAAGTCTTTGTTCATGCTTTATTAAGGCTAAGTAAGGTGTAGTTATTATAAAGTGTTACCGTAATAACAATAGAACAGAGAACAACAGACGTGTTAACGTCACATATGAACAGTTCTTCAGATAAACTATAACATAAACAACAGAACAGAACAAGTTTAACAAACTCTCCATCTCACTCCAAATCACTAAATCCATTCAATTCTTCATCCTCGGTGTCACTTCTGAGCAACTCCACGACCTCCGGAGGTAAACAGAGCGCCGCTTCCTCTTCTGTGTCGCTGTCGTCAGACTCAGCATCAGTTCCAGTTAGAATTATTCCAGTCTTTCTGAATCCCGACAGGATGGTTTCGGTGTCACTGAAGTCAAAATCAAAGTCCAAATTTTAAATAGTTCAGTGGTACAGAAGTAACGGTGCGATCGACTGACATGATGCAGACAAGACAGAGGCTCTTTCTGCAGGAGACATGCGCAGTAGAGCCAAGTGACAGTGGTACAAGAGGAACAGGAGCAGCAGATACTGAGCGTCCTCTCGCGCTGTCAGTGTGAAAATTTTAATATGCAAGTCGCACCGGAGTATGAGCAGGACATTGTTTCTTGTCCAACCCCTAGAAATAACACTTTTTGTCCTGCCCATGTTTGTAAATGATTATGAAACACTTGTTTATGAGAGGATAACTTTTAGCATATGTTTAGTTAATGTTAATGTTAATGTTGGTTCATTATTATAAAGTGTTACTAGGCTTTTTGTGAAGAAATTTAGTGATTTAATGACCTGAAACAACCCCAACATTTATCTGTACATTTTCAACACCAGATTGACTTGAAAAAATGTTTGCTTATAAAATTGTGAATTCAGATATTAGGTGCAGTGGCAGAGCTTTTACTGACTAATTTGAAAGAGGTTTGATCCCAACTCACGTCAGACACTTCACTTTTTGCTTTTCTGCTTTTCTCGTGTCAATAAACACTCGCAGTTGCAGGAGAAACAAAACGTCTGACTCTTTATTCAACAGCATTTCCTCATTTTGTGCTTTGGTTTGAACAGCGGCGCTCAGACCTGTTAGAAACACACGAGGCTGTGTCCAAGTTCACCAGCTGCTCCTGGCTCTGCTCCATCTCTCTCTCTCTCTCTCTCTCTCTCTCTGTTTCTTCCTCTTCCTCTCTCTCTCCTTCTCTATTTCTCTCTCTCGTTCCACTCACTTGTGCTCCCCTCTCTCCTCTGTCCACTTTCTTTCTCTTCTCTCCTCTCGCTCCTCCTCCTCCTTCTGTCTCCTTCTCTCTTCCTCTCTCCCTTTTCTCCCTCCCCTTCTCTCTCCTCTTCTTCTTTCACCTCTCCTCTCTCTCTCTCTCTCTCTCTCTCTCCTCTCTCTCCTCTCTCTCTCTCCTCTCTCTCTCTCACTCTCTCCCTCCTGTTTCTCTCTCTTTCTCTCTCTCATCTCTACCCGTCCCTTTTCCGCTCTCTTCTTCTCTCTTCAACTCTCCCTCTCTCTCATTCTCTTTCTTTCTCTCTCCTCTCCTTCTCTCACACACACTCCTCCTCTCCGTATTCTTCCTCTTACCCATCTTTCTTCTTCTCAGTTCCTCTCCCTCCTTCCTCCTTCCCTTTCTCCCCGTCTTCTATCTCCTTCTCCCTTCCTTTCCTCTCTCCACCCTTTCTCTCCTCTCTTCTTTTCACCTCTCCCTCTCTCCTTTCTCTTCTCTCTCTGCTCTTCCTCCTCTCACTCTCGCTCTTTCCTCTCCCTCCTTTCACTCCTCTCTCTTCTCTCCTTTCCTCCTCCCCTCACTCTTTCTCTCAGCCCCGACCCCTCGATTCTCTCACCCTTCCTCTCCCTCATCTTTCCACTCTCTTCTTCTCTTCTTTCACTCTCCCTCTCTCCTCACTCCCCTCTCTCTCATTCGCTCTGTCTCTACTCTCCTTCTATCACACACACTCCTCCTCTTCTTCTCCATATTCTACTTCTTTGTACCTATTATTTTCCATCTCTCTCTCACCCCCTCTCTCTTTCTTTTACCACCCTTTCTCTCTCTCGCTCTCTCTGCTTCTCTCTATCCTTTCTCATCTATTTCTGCTCTCTCTCCCCCATCTCTCCCCTCCTCTACTCTCTCTCCTCTTCCACTCCCCCTCCTCCTCCTTCTCTCCCTCTTGTTTCTCTTTCTCACTTTTTTTCACCCCTGTTTTCTCTCTTTCTCTCTCCTCTCCCTCTCTCACTCCCTTCTCTCTCTTCTCTCCCCTCCTCTACTCTCTCTTTTCCTTCTCCCTCTCTCTCTTTCTCACTTTTTTTCACCCCTGTTTTCTCTCTTTCTCTCTCCTTCTCCCTTTTCTCTCCACTTCTCTCCCTCTCCCTCTTCTCCCTATGGCCTAATACCAATCCCCCATCCTCTTTCTCTCTCTCTCTCTCTCTCTCTCTTTCTCTTCTCTCTCTCTCTCTTCTCTATTTCTCTCTCTCGTTCCACTCACTTGTGCTCCCCTCTCTCCTCTGTCCACCTCGTCTCTTTCACTCCACTTTCTTTCTCTTCTCTCCTCTCGCTCCTCCTCCTCCTTCTGTCTCCTTCTCTCTTCCTCCTCCACTATTTCTCCCCCCTTTCTCTCTCCTCTCTTCCTTTCACCTCTCCCTCTCTCCTTTCTCTTCTCTCTCTGGGTCTTCCCCTCCTCTCCTCTCTCTCTCTCTCCTTTCTCTGCTCTTCCTCCTCTCACTCTCGCTCTTTCCTCCCCCTTCTTTCGCTCCTCTCTCTTCTCTCCCTTCTCCTCCTCCTCTCACTGTTTCTCTCACCCCCCTTTTCTCCTTTCTCTCCTATCTCTACCCGTCCGTTTTCCGCTCTCTTCTTCTCTCTTCAACTCTCCCTCTCTCTCATTCACTTTCTTTCTCTCTCCTCTCCTTCTCTCACACACACTCCTCCTCTCCATATTCTCCCTCTTACCCACCTTTCTTCTTCTCAGTTCCTCTCCCTCCTTCCTCCTTCCTTTCTCCCCATCTTCTATCTCCTTCTCTCTTCCTTTCCTCTCTCCACCCTTTCTCTCCTCTCTTCTTTTCACCTCTCCCTCTCTCCTTTCTCTTCTCTCTCTGGGTCTTCCTCCTTCTCTCCCCTCTCTCACTCTCGCTCTTTCCTCTCCCTCCTTTCACTCCTCTCTCTTCTCTCTCCTTTCCTCCTCCTCTCACTCTTTCTCTCAGCCCCGACCCCTCGATTCTCTCACCCTTCCTCTCCCTCGTCTTTCCACTCTCTTCTTCTCTTCTTTCACTCTCCCTCTCTCCTCACTCCCCTCTCTCTCATTCGCTCTGTCTCTCCTCTCCTTCTATCACACACGCTCCTCCTCTTCTTCCTCTCCATATTCTACTTCTTTGTACCTATTATTTTCCATCTCTCTCTCACCCCTCTCTCTTTCTCTCCTCCTTCTCTCTCTCTCTCACCTTTCTCTTGTTCTCTTACTATATTTTCTCTCTCACACACACACACTCTCTCTCTCTCTCCTCCTTCTCCCTCTCTCTTTCTTTTACCACCCCTTTCTCTCTCTCGCTCTCTCTGCTTCTCTCTCTCTCCCCCATCCCCCTCGCTACCCTTCTCTTACTCCTCTTTTTCTCGTTCTCTCTCCTCTCACCCCCATCTCTCCCCTCCTCTACTCTCTCTCCTCTTCCACTCCTCCTCCTTCTCCTTCTCTCCCTCTTGTTTCTCTTTCTCACTTTTTTCACCCCTGTTTTCTCTCTTTCTCTCTCCTCTCCCTCTCACTCCCTTCTCTCTCTTCTCTCCCCTCCTCTACTCTCTCTTTTCCTTCTCTCCCTCTCTCTCTTTCTCACTTTTTTTCACCCCTGTTTTCTCTCTTTCTCTCTCCTTCTCCCTTTTCTCTCCACTTCTCTTCCTCTCCCTCTCTCCCTATGGCCTAATACCAATCCCCCATCCTCTTTCTCTCTCTTTCTCTCTTTCTGTTTCTCTCTCTCTTAAATTATTAATCCGTCATTTATTTCTTATTTCCACAACAGTGTCATGAGCGGCTCCGTGCAGCTGCGCGTCCATAAAGTGTGCGCTCGCTGGAGGCCCTTGTGTTAGATTACTTTTATAGACGCTTTGAATCAGCACTTTTCGAGTCAAACTGAGGGGACAGCTCCAAATGCTTCACACTCTTATTATTATTTCTGCCCTAATGTTCGATTTTTCTTTATTTTTCCTTCCAGAATGTGATTTTTCCCGGTGCTGGGGATGACGGAATAAACGAATACAAGTCCGTCATCTATTACCAAGTGAAGCAGCCGCGCTGGTTTGAAACTATAAAGGTAAAAATCTGCTTCAACGCTCCACTTAACCATTTTAAAATCATTAAAATCTATTGTGAATTGACTGATTAAAGGTGCATTGTGTAACTTTTCTGGTGGAGGGTGCGTCAAATGATTTTCTCCATGGAGATATTGTTGCTTTGTCTGGAATTAAACTTTTCTGTATTCATCGAGACCGAACCAGACCACGTTACAGGTCAGATCTGTGGAGAGGCGACGCCGCTCACAGTCAGAATGTTTGGTTTTCTGAGACAATTTTGAGCTATAAAACCATCTGTAACTGAATAAATGTAAAGTAGAGCTGTTTTAATGTCATACTGTGGAACTTTCCAAGCAAAGTAATGATGTATCCATGGAAACAAGCAGGTGATGGACCCTAAATTTAAATAAAAAAATGCACCTTTTAAAGTCATTATTTCAAACTAAATTAATCAAAAAGATGATTTGCAATGAAAATAATAATGAAATAACCTAAAGAGAAGGAAATGTGAACGAAAACATAAGAACATAGGTTACACTACAACAATACTGAAGCTCTAGAGAGATGTAAAGATGTAGTATGTAACTTTTTTGATGAGGTGTCCATTACCTGCACATCTCCATGGACATATTGCTTTGCCTAGAATGTTCCACAGTGGCATAGTTTAGTTGTTTACCTAGACCAGGGGTGTCAAACTCATTTTGGTCCAGGGGGCCGTATCCAAACTACTTTGATCCCAAAGGGGCCGGATCAGAAAACTCATGGCATATAAACCCCAAAAATAACAATAAGTTCAAATATTTGTGCAGAGAAATGCAAATCTATTACAGAAATCTTTTTTTAATTGATGAACTCTTTCTTTTACAAAATATTATAATATTATGAACAACCTGAAACTTTAAGAAAAATACAATTTCAACACAAAGTTTTAACATGAACTTGTATGTAAATAGGAATAAGTAAATTTTTCTTGGAAAATTCTGCACTCGGCTCCACTTTTCTCATTTTTGACATTTTGTTGATGAGGGTGTCACGGTCAAAACGATCATCTTTTAAGAGCGTCTGGGAAGAGACAAGTCTTCATTTGTGCTGCTCTGGTGGGAGGGGCCACGTACAGAGGCACTGGAGACGCTGCTGTGATAAACACCACAGAAAATTAACAAGATTTTAATAGAAAATATAATTAAAATATTTGAGTAGAAAATCAGCCGAGGGCCAGATTAAAGGTCTTAGAGGGCCGGATCTGGCCCCCGGGCCGTATGTTTGACACCTGTGACCTAGAGCATTTCTTTTACTCACATCTCAAAATGGCCGCCCATTCAAGTCAGTGGGCCGAGCTCAATGGCGCGTGACTCCAGATTCGCCTTTATCCCGGCGAGGTTCTTTCGGTGGCTGTGGGCTGATCGAGCATGTGCAGTGGTGCTCTTTTCTCCTGCACGGGGCGCTGTCTCGTGTATCACATGATCACTTTGACCAATCAGAGCGATTATTATGAAGTGTTTTTTAAGACAACTGAAGGATATTGAGCTGAGGAGTTTATGATCTAAAAATAGGTAAAAATTGCCACAAAATCCAACATTTTTGAAAGCTGAAGGTGCCGAACACGAGCAGTTTGTGATTACATTGACTCTATGAGAAAAATCCTGTCTCGGCCCAGGGGATTTTTTCCGCTGTAGCACCAGTGAGTGTCACTACGTCAACTGGAGGCAACTACAAGCGGAAACACCCTATCCACTTATTTTAATAGATCCATGACTCACATAGATTACAGTTTATTAGGTATAACATGCATAAAAAAGCATACATTTTGTGCTTCTATCATCGTAACCAGTTCTGTCTTCTTCCAGGTCGCCATTCCCATTGAAGACGTGAACCGGAGCCACTTACGCTTCACTTTCCGGCATCGCTCGTCTCAGGACTGTGAGTACTAATGTAGACCTTGCATCTTTTTCAAGGGGTGAACTTTGAGCGTCTGCAGGTCTTGACTGCTAAACCCAAAAATGTAATTCAAAATGTAAAATATTTATGACTGAAGATGTGCAACCCTAAACATTTTCTAAAGTTGAATCATTGTTTTAATATTGTCGTCTCCGTTTGCACACAACAGGGTTAAATGTTGTGAGCTTTAAGTCATGTTAGAATGTTTTTACCTCCTCAAAAACAGACCTGGGCTTGTGTTTTGTTTTGTTTTGTTTCTTTATAAACTTACAGCCAGAGGTGGGAATTGCAGGTAGTGACTTGGACTCGAGTCAGAATTGAGTCACTATTTTTAGGACTTGAGACTTGACTTGATAAAATGACTTGGGACTTGACTCAGACTTGTGGCCTGTGACTTGAGAAGCACTTTTAAATCTGAATTCTTTCTATTCTGACCGTAATGATTCACACTAAGATCTTGTCAAGACATTTAAAAAGAAAAAAATAACAAAATTAATTTGTACAACTCTTATATACTCTATAAATACTCAAATATAAATATACTATGATTTTTTAAAAGTAGAATTTAGTTACAATTCATATAAATTGCAAAAATCTAAGCTATATTTGGTACTTTGGTTGAAAGACTTGAAATGATTGAACCTCAAAGCAGACGACTTGGACTTGACTTGGATTTATGGACCAGTGACTTGAGACTCGACTTGGATTTGCCTGTATTTGACTTTGGACTTGACTCGGACTTGAGGCCTGTGACTTGAGAAGCACTTTTAAATCTGAATTCTTTCTATTCTGACCGTAATGATTCACACTCAGATCTTGTCAAGACGTTTAAAAAGAAAAAAATAACTAAATTAATTTGTACAACTCTTATATACTCTATAAATACTCAAATATAAATATACTATGACTTTTAAAGTATAATTTAGTTTAAAATTCATATAAATTTCAAAAATCTTGGTTGAAAGACTTGAAATGATTGAAGCTCAAAGCAGATGATTTGGACTTGACTTGGACTTATGAGCCAGTGACTCGAGACTCGACTTGGATTTGCCTGTATTTGACTTGGGACTTGACTCGGACTTGAGGTCAAAGACTTGAGACTTACTTGAGACTTGCAAAACAACGACTTGGTCCCACCTCTGCACATAGATAACTGTTTGCAGCTTCCTCACCTGTACTACTGTTTTGGTTTTATTTTGTAATTCCCACAGTAAAGTTCGCTGAAATCAACATTCGCTTCATTTTCCGTCATTACCTGCTAAAACCAACGCACCATATTGCATTTGAAGGTCAGTTTAATTCCAGATATTAGACCCGTCCCTGTTGGCAGAGTCGTGACAGGGCTTGTCAGTGGCTCCAGCTGGGTACTGACTATTTTCTGGAGAGATGTGCAGCTTAATTAGAACCAATTGGCCAGCTCCGAGTGGCCAGCTCTGTAATGGCCGTCTGTTTTCTAATATGCTTTATGTATCATTTTGGCTGCTTGGTCCAGGCTCCTCCCTCCATCTGCCGTCCACCTTGTTGTCATAATATTTAATCGAGGCCACTGAAAAGCGCGCAGTTGGTTTTTGCTTTTCTTTTTTCATTATACGTCCCTGTGTTTGGGTTAAAAGCCGGATCGATCGTAAAAATGTTGCCAGTGTTTAGTTTAAGAATTTCCCCGGAAAATTCACGTAATGTTGAAGCTGATGTTTTATACTCCTGACAAATCTGTATCCTAAATTAGATTAGATTAGATTGAACTTTACACATGTATAAATACAAGGTACGAAACATGGTTTAGGATCTAATGAGAAGTGCAAGGAGCAGTAAGTGTGATAAATACAGTGTTGGGAAGGTGACTTTTAAAATGTATTCCCCTACAGATTACAGATTACATACCCCAAAATGTAGTTTGTAACATAATCCATTAAATTACTTAAAGTGAGTAACGTAATCTGAATACTTTGGATTACTTGATTTGCTGTAGAGAAGCAAAGACCAAAATATCTTCACATAAGATATTTTGTCTGCTAAAAGAAAATGAAAAGCCCAGATTTTACTAAACCGTATTAAAAATATTTTTGATAGAAGAGGAGGAGACACAGTCTGCGCAGCATGATTTAGTCCTGTTAAATCCTGGTTTAGACCTGGTTTAGACCTGGTTTAGTCCTGGTTTAGTCCTGGTTTAGTCCTGGTTTAGTCGTGGTTTATTCCTGGTTTAGTCCTGGTTTAGTCCTGGTTTAGTCCTGGTTTAGACCTGGTTTAGTCGTGGTTTATTCCTGGTTTAGTCCTGGTTTAGTCCTGGTTTAGTCCTGGTTTAGACCTGGTTTAGACCTGGTTTAGACCTGGTTTAGACCTGGTTTAGTCCTGGTTTAGACCTGGTTTAGTCGTGGTTTATTCCTGGTTTAGTCCTGGTTTAGTCCTGGTTTATTCCTGGTTTAGTCCTGGTTTAGTCCTGGTTTAGTCCTGGTTTAGACCTGGTTTAGACCTGGTTTAGACCTGGTTTATTCCTGGTTTAGTTCCTGGTTTAGACCTGGTTTAGTCGTGGTTTATTCCTGGTTTAGTCCTGGTTTAGTCCTGGTTTATTCCTGGTTTAGTCCTGGTTTAGTCCTGGTTTAGTCCTAGTTTAGACCTGGTTTAGACCTGGTTTAGACCTGGTTTATTCCTGGTTTATTCCTGGTTTAGTCATGGTTTATTCCTGGTTTAGTCCTGGTTTAGTCCTAGTTTAGACCTGGTTTTAGACCTGGTTTAGACCAGGTTTAGAACTGGTTTGGACCTAGGTTTAAATCTTGTTTGGACCTGGTTTTAGACCTGGTTTTAGACCTGGTTTAATGTCTGGCAATGAGTGGAATATACCAAAAAAAAAAAAAAAAGAAACAAAGGGAATTGCCCAAAATGTGAAAACAGGAAAATACTGCCATGTAATCCATTTATTTCAACAAAGTAACTGTAATCCAATTACCACTCACTGAAACAGTAACTGTAACCGAATACAGTTACTCATAATTTGTACTCTGATTACGTAACTCCCCAACACTGGATATATACAGAATGTACAGTATATACAATATTGACTATATACAGGATATTACAGTGTAGATTGTAGTGAATATGTACAAATAAATATGGCAGTATGAACAGGAGGTATTGTACATTTTGTTCGTAGTATAGCATAAAGATACGCTATGTAACTTTTCTGGTGGAGGATCTGCCACCTTCCACAGTATGGTGTTAAACTTATCTATTTTTTCTTTGCCATGTTATAATGTTTTTACCTCATCAAAAACATAGCTGGAGTTGTATTTTGTTTCTTTCACACGTTTGAGTACATTTTTATTATTACCATATTTTTCAGACTATAAGACGCACCGGATTATAAAGTGCAGTATCAATAATGTTAAATTCTGTCGTCTATTTTCATACATAAAACACAGCGGATTATAAGACGTATTAAGCAAAACAAACGGACGACACTTGAGACTGATCCTTTAGTCCAGGTGTTGCCTCTCTGTCTTGGTAAATGTGGATTATGAATGTGAATGTGGGTGGATCGTTTAAGTTTATTTTTAATTTCCTGCGAGGACGACTCAAATATACATTGAGTAATAATGTGTTTAATGCAGCTTTGTGCACATTTGTTTACGTTTTACAGAAACAAAACTTAAAACCTCATGACTAATTTGCATAAACTAAAAGCGCTGAAAAAAACTGCTCGCTTCTTGTGCGCTGATGCGGTTCAGCTTCTGTCAGACTCACTCCACGAGGCTCCTGATTACAGAAGCCACAATGCTCCAACAATCCATCAAGTGGTGCGGCTTCGTAGTTTACCAAAGTCGTACTAAAACAGATTTTTGAGCGTCGTGTACCACTTAAAATCGATTCGAGGTCAGTGAGCACAACCAGAATTAATACATAAGGTGCACTGTCGATTTTTGAGAAAATTCAAGGATTTTAAGTGCACCTTATAATTCAGAAAATATGGTAATGTGTTAGAAATTGCTGGTTATCAAATGTATTCTTGCTAGAACTTTAAAACACATGTGCCCTTACGTTTCTGGAAAACATGTCTGAAATTATACCAGCCTTAAAGAATCTATATTTTGCTATTTTTTGATCTGTGTTGTAATGTTGTTTCTTCATCATAAACATACCTGGAGTTGTGTTTTGTTTCAATCACAACTGTTTCGTTCATCTAAAGTTGTCTTCACCGAGCAATCAAAAATGTTCTGTTTGTATTTTGCCTGAAATGTTACGTCACAGGTAAAAATCCAGATTGATACACAGTTTTAAATCCATAAACCATCACTGAAGTTACTCTACTGCCAGATTATGTTCCTTATAGTCCGAAAAATATGATCTTCTATCTTTATCTTCAAAGCTCAAAATGCTCTGTTCCACCTTGTGATGTCATGCAGTGGTAGTTTTCAAGTTAGCAGCTACTTTTTACTTTTAGTTCAGTAGAGACTGGCAATTCCAGGACTGAAATTGCTCTAAATGATGAAAAAAACACAGCTCCAGGTCTGTTTGTGACGAGGAAACAACATTATAACATAAATCAGAAAAAATCGTAATATGGGCCCTTTAACTTTTCTGTCTTTTGTTTTAACTTGGGTATGGCATCCTGATTATCCGAGTAGTTTTCTCCACAATGACCATGTTTAAGTGTTATTTGTGTTCAGTTGTGAGGTTTGTAGCTGTGGTTAAATGGAGCCCTCTGGGTCCTCTGTCTTTCCAATCGCATTTAGAGGTAATTTATATCATTTCGTCCCAACCAACGGGAAATCTATCTCAGTCTAAACACAGCTTGAGGAATCGTAAGAAAACGACAGAATGCACAAAGCTTGGACTGTAACTTTCTTTTAATTCTTACAAAAGTGTTTTACGTTGGTTTGTGCTGCTTTTTAGACGTTCATTACAGCTTCTTCATTTGTCATAAACGGTAATTATTGCTTAATAATAATGGGGATCGTTCATAATTGACTTTTTGCAATCCATCAGAA